ACACTGGAAGTTTTTAAGAAGAGACTGGACAGCCATTTGTCCGAAATGGTATAGGGTTTCCTGCCTGAGCAGGGGGTTGGACTAGATGACCTTCAAGGTCCCTTCCAACTTTACTATTATTATTATTATTATTATTATTATTATTATTATTATTATTATTATTATTATTATTATTATTATTATTATTATTATTATTACCACTACTACTACTACTACTTACTACTACTACTTACTACTACTACTAAATCCAGCTTTCCCCATTGACTTTGCTTGGCGCAGTGGTCAGAATGCAGCATGGCAGGCTGACTCTGCCCACTGCCAGGAGTTTGATCCTGACCGGCTCAAGGTTGACTCAGCCTTCCCATCCTTCCGAGGTTGGTAAAATGAGGACCCAGATTGTGGGGGGCAATAGGGTAATGTTGTAACCTTCTCAGAGGGGGCTGTAAACGTTTTCGGCTTTGCGGACCAGCGGCCAGGGAGAGAGTGGATGGTTCCGTGCCGCATAAGTGGCAGGCACACACGCTTGCAGCTCCATTTATGTGAGTGGGAGGACGCTTGTGCTCACGTGTGCAGCTCCATTTGCACACCCACTTGCACAACTGGAGCTGCACGCGCGAGCGCCTGGCACTCGTCCAAGTGAAACTGCATGCACGAGCACGCTTGCCCACCACTTGCATGGCCCAGACCGCGGCCTGGGGGTTGGGGACCCCTGCTGTAAAGCACTGTAGAGCAGTATATAAGTGCTATTGCTATTGTTGGAAGCTGGCTGGGAAGATCATACGACCCCAGGATGCGGCAACCATTATAAATACACGCAGGTTGCCAAGAGCTGAATTTTGATCATATGACCATAGGGATGTTGCAATGGTCGTAAGTGGGAGGATCAGTTGTAAGTCACTTTTTTCGGTGCTGTTAGAACTTCAAACAGTGGCTAAAAGGATGATTGTAAGTCAAGGACTACCTCTAAAGGCATTGAGGCAATGATCAGCAGCAGATGCTCACATACTTTGGGCATGTGCTACAAGTGGATTCTGAACTTGTAAAAACAACTGGGATTGACGATGTTGAAGGATTTGGAAGGGAAGACAAACGGGATTGGGTAGGCGGATGGGAATGAGAAGATCCCTGGAAGATCCTGCAAGAGCTGCTTCGTATTACTAGTCCTGGGTGGGGATCCAGTTTGAAGGAGAAACGTCGACCTGGAGCATGTATGGACAGGCATATCACACCTGTCGACCTTCTCCAAACATGTTTTCCTGCAGGAGCTCACAAACAGATGAGCATTAACAACACGGACATCCACAAACACTGAATCACCTTTGAATCTGGATCTCAGCACAGGGCTACAAAAGGTTGTTATTGACTTCATCAGATGTGGCAGTGACACTTCGTTACCAAGAAACAAAGCCCAACTTGCCAGCACTTAATTGACAAATCAGAGATCTCAACCCCATTAGCTTTCCAGAAAGCCTTGAAGACTTGGCTCCTTTTTTCTGGCACACGGGCTGAGATATTGGCAGAATCTCACCTGTATGGTTTGATGGGATTCTGCTTTTCAGAGCCCTCAGCTTTTGTTGCACAGGTAGTTTTCAGCTTATAACCATTTACGACAGCATTAAAAAAAAGTTATTTATGATCGGTCCTCCTCACACTTACAATCACTGCAGCATTCCTGTGGTCACGTGATCAAAATTAGGGCGCTCATATGTATTTACCATAGTTATGGTGTTCTGGTGTCACGTGATCACCACATGACCTTCCCAGCTGGCTTCTGACAAGTCAAGTCAATGGGGGAGGGCGGATTTGCTTAATGACCGTGCCAGTCACTTCGCAAGGGTGGCAAAAAAGATCATAAAATCGGGTGCGACTTACTTAACAGCCAGCTCACTTAGCAACAGAAATTCCGATCTCACTTGTCATAAGTTGAGGACTACCTGTAATGTTCTATTAATTCATGTTTAGGTTTTGTCCTGTGAGCAGTCACAAGATCAGAATGGACAGTTATTTAAATTCTATAAATAAAAAACAAACATTGCCACCTGATTAGCAAGTACTTGAACTGTTATTTACTGCCCTCAATTGAGCCTTCGGTGATCTAGGAACAATCCCACAGGCCTACTTTGCAGGGGTGTTGTATTGGACTAGATAACACTTCAACCCTGTTGAAAAGAAGATGATGTGGCACGGAGCAAGAGAAGGACTTACAGTTGCTGCTGAATTTCTTCCACATCCTCCTGAACTACAGATAGTCCTCAACTTACAGCAGTTCATTTAGTGACCGTTCGAAGTTACAATGGCACTGAAAAAAAGTGCCTTATGACAGGATTTCACACTTACGGCCATCGCAGCCTCCCCACGGCCACCTGATCAAAATTCAGACACTTGGCAATTGAATCATATTTACCACATGTGAATCCCTTTTGCGACCTTCTGACAAGCAAAGCCGAGGGGGAAAGCCAGATCCACTTCACAACCAGGTTTGTAAGTGCAGCGATTCAACTTAAGAACAGTGGCAAGAAAGGTTGGGAAAAAATGGCCTGAAATTCAGTTAACAACCGTCTGGCGGAAATTTGGGGCTGAATTGCCGTCGTAAGTCAAGGACTACCTGTAACGAAGGGAAGCCCTGTCCCCTCCCCACGGCCGCTTTCCAGAGGCAGGAGCCGGAACCGGAGCAGCCACCCCCCCACCGTCCACGCGAAACGCCCGGAACGCCAGCCTGTCTTCCCGGTTGCCCGTTCCGAGCCTCCACCCACTCACCCTTCCGCCCACTCGCTCAGCCACGCCGCGCTTGCCGGCCTCGCTTGCTTCCCGGCTCTGCTTGAGCGGGAGGGCGGGGTCGGACTAGAAGACCTCCAAGGTCCCTCTCAATTCTGCTACTCCTGTTATTCTTCTGCTCCCAGCAAAGCCCCCACGCGCGTCAGGTGGGCTCGCCCACCCCGGCTTCCTCCCGTAGCTTCGCCTTCCCGCGGACGCCGCTAGTGGCGGCGCTCCCTCGGTCCGGGGGAAGCGGTCCCAGCCCCCCCGCCGCCCGGCCCTTCCAAAGCGCGAGGTGCGGAGAGGCCAGCGGCTGCTCCGGCCGAGCCCGGCCAAGGGATGGCTGGCTCCGAAAGGCCGCTCCGGAGCCTCCGCGTGGGCTCGGCGGTGCGCAGCAGGCGACCCAGGGGGCGGGCGCGCGGGCGGGCGCGCCGCGATGGCTCCGACACGCTGGGAGCGCACAAAGGCAAAAGCGGCCGGGGGCTGAGCCCGCTCCACTCCGTCCTCGCAGCCCGGGCCCGGGGAGGCCCTCTCGGCCGGGCGGCCGGCCGGAAGAGGCAGCCAGCGGGAAGGGGGGAGGACGGCGCTCGGGGTGCCAGGCTGGAGGAACCGTCCGCCTCCGCCTCCGCCCCCGCCAAGATAGCCACCTACGTTAGTTTGCTCAAGTTGGCCCCCTCCTCCGGCTCCGTCCTCCGTCCGAAAGGCTTCCCGCCAGTGCCGGAGTGGCGATCCGCTCCTTAAGGACGGGTTGAAGGCGGCGGGGGCTGCGCGCTCGGCTGCTCAAGCCCCGTTGCAACCACACCGGAGCGGAACGTAAGGCCGGGCTGGCTGGGTCTCCCCCTCGCCTTTCCCCTCCCTTCTTTTCTCCCAGCCTAGCGGCCGACGGCTTGAAATGCAGCTCCAGCACACCCCACCCCACCCCACCCCACGGGAAGGCTGCCTTGGCCGCAAGTGACACGGATTTAGGGAGGAAGGGACGGGGGGGGGAATTAGAGGCGGCCGAGACGATCGGGCGGGGGAAGGGGCGGGGGGGGGCTCGGGGAGAGGGCACCAGGCTTTGGGCTGGACTCGCTCAGCTCATCCTAGGGGACGTAGAGGTCTTCTAGTCCCACCTCTTTCCCAGTGCAGGATCCATCCGAGCGTGTCCAACTTTGGACTTTTTAAGACTTGTGGACTTCAGCTCCCAGAATTCCCCAGCCAAACTGGCTGGCTGGGGAATTCTGGGAGTAGTAGTAGTAGTAGTAGTAGTAGTAGTAGTAGTAGTAATAATAATAATAATAATTAATAATAATAATAATAATAAAGTTGGAAGGGACCTTGGAGGTCATCTAGTCCAACCCCGTGCTCAGGCAGGATACCCTATACCAGTGTTTCTCAACCTTGTCAATTTTAAGGCATGTGGACTTCAATTTTAAGGCATGTGGAATTCTGGGAGTTGAAGTCCACATGCCTTAAAATTGACAAGGTTGAGAAACACTGCCCTATACCATTTCGGACAAATGGCTGTCCAGTCTCTTCTTAAAAACTTCCAGTGTTGGAGCATTCACAACTTCTGGAGGCAGGTTGTTCCACTGGTTAATTGTTCAAGTCCACAAACGTGAAGTCCACAAACCTTAAAAGCCGCCAAGATCTGACACCTCTGCACTAGACTAGAGCATCTCTGACAGATGACCCTCCAGCTTCTCTGCAAAGACCTCTAGCATCCTGGGTCAGGTCACAACCTGAAAGCCGAATCCGAAGCCACATCTCGTCACAACTTCCAGGTCATATGAAGTTTCTTGGATGAGCTGCATTTATTTGAAAAGATGATTTGGCTCACTGAGGGCAAAGTCATTCTGCAGAGCTAGGGGAGCAGCATATAAATTTCATAAATGAAAATCTGAATAAACAGATTAATGATGCTATAGTACTAACATTTTCTCCAGGGCACAAAGTGGTAGTGGAATGACTACCCTCAATTTACCCTCAGATTTCTTTCAGGTAAATTGGGCTGAGTGATTGGGTTTGTGTATTAGATTTTACCTTTATTACTTTATAAGTAACTCATAGTGGCAAAGATACTTAATGCTCCTTCCTCCTCCTATTTTCCCCACAACAACCCTGTGAGGTGGGTTAGGCGGAGAGCAACTGGCCCAAGATCACCCAACCATTTTTCATGCCTAAGGTGGGACTAGAACTCACCATCTCCTGGGGAATGGCCCAAAGTCACCTAGCTGGCTTTCATGCCTAAAGTGGGGCTAGATCTCATTGTCTCCTTGTTTCTAGGCCAGCACTTTAACCATGAAATCCCCCTTTTAAACACTTTTCAAGGTTTTTCTTTTTTCATTTTATCAGGATGAGTGGGAAGAGGTGTCACTTTTTAAAGGTGTGAAATCTTTTGGATACAGCCCACATTATGGGGCTTCTGTTTCCTACCCCCACCTCCACCCCCATCCTCATTCCCAGAATTTGGCTGGGAACCACTGTCATGTATTTATTTCTTACTTCAGTGTTTAAGCTGTTATTCTGGGCAGTTCATAGAAGATTAAAACAAATACCACCATAATATATGAGTCAAGGCAAACTGTAAAATGTACATTTAATGAATCTTTGCAGCAACTTGACCAAAACCTGTAGAAAAAGCCAGATCTTTCTAGCCCTGTCCCAAATACAAGCAGAGTGGGGCCATATGGAGGCAGGATCTTCATAGGGAAGACGCTGCAACAACCAAGATGTATTTTCTGGATCCTATGGGATGTTATTGTTTTATTGTTGGGGCCAGGAGGACATCAAATTTGGTAGCAGGTACATTACCGCCTTCAAGGCAGGAAGCATTACCTGCTCCCTTCCTTACCATACCACCTCCTGAAGCCCACCACCCAGCCGTATTTGACACCCCCCCCCCAAAGTAGCCAGCCATGAAATGAATCTAGCCCACAGGTGGTAGGTCTCATACTGCCCAAGACATGATTCAGTTCCACCAACTCAAAAGAATCCCAAAATGAAATACAAGAGGTCACCTCCGTTGGCTCTGCCCGTTGGCTCTGCCCAAATACAAGAGGTCACCTCTGTTGGCTCTGCCCAAGCAGACACAAGCAACTATTTGCAAAGAAACCCGTAAATTTATCTAGTTCAGGGGTCTTCAATCTTGGCCCTTTTATGACTTGTGGACTTCAACTCCAAGAATTCCTCAGCCAGTGTGCCTGACTGAGGAATTCTGGGAGTTGAAGTCCACAAGTCATAAAAGGGCCAAGTTTGAAGACCCCGGGTCTAGATGGTCTACAGATATCTTGCCCCTAACAATATTAACCCTCAATTTCTGTAGCATAATTGGGAAAGCAGAATAAGCCAGATTCTGTTCTGAAGCAAATCCTAGGTAGGCTAGAAAACCTTGCTTACAGATAGTCCTGGACTTAAAACCATTCACTTAGCAACCATTCAAAATTACAACAGCACTGAAAAAGCTTGACTTATCACCAATCCCCACACAACCATCACAGCATCCCCACAATCGTGTGATCAATATGGGGCACTTGTCAACTGGCATGTAATTATGACTTTTTTTATTATTCGTATCCCACCGTTATTATTTTTTTTACAAATAACTCAAGGCGCAAACATATCTAACACACTTTCCTCCTACTTTCCCCACAACTACAACCCTGTGACGTGGGTTGGCTGAGAGTGTCTGGCCCTAAGTCAACCAGTTGGCTGTGCAGCGTTCCAAAGCCATGTGACCACCGTTCACAATCTTCCCAGCTGACATTCGACAAGCAAACTCAGTGGAAGACTGATTCGTTTAACATGATTCACTCCAGAAGCGGTGAATGCACCAACACTGGAAGTTTTTAAGAAGAAACTGGGCAGCCATTTGTCCAAAATGGTATAGGGTTTCCTGCCTGAGCAGGGGGTTGGACTAGATGACCTCCAAGGTCCCTTCCAACTTTTATCATTATTATTAATATTATTACTTCACTGCAGTGATTCGCTTAACAACTGTGACCAAAAAGTTGTAAAATTGGGCGTGACTCATTTAACAACCGCCTTGCTTAGTAATGGAAGTTCTGGTCCCATTTGAGGTCATACGTCAGTGGTGGCGAACCTATGGCACGCGTGCCAGAGGCGGCACTCAAGAGTCCTCCCTGTGGGCACACGTGCCGTTGCCCCAGCCTTGCCTCCTCCCGTGACCCCGTCCTCACCAGCAGCCCCCCTGGAAGAGAGTCGTCCCTGAGCGTGGCCCGCGCGGGGCAGCGCAGCCAAGGACATGGAAGCCAGGCAGCGTAGACAAGACTGCCCTCACATCCCATCGTGCACAGTTGATGCTGCGGGGCGCAGGCAGGGAGCATGGCCGCAATGGTGCTGCTGGGCTGTCTGTGGGCCCTGGATGTGGTGAGTGGCCCTGCGGGTAGGCGGGGTGGGGGCGGGGCAGGGCCAGTTTTTGGGCACTGAGTCTCTAAAAGGTTCGCCATCACTGTCATAAGTAGAAGACTACCTATATTTCTCAAGGAAAACCATCTTGAGTGTTGTCCCTAGAATTACCCTCGGAATCACTGTAAAATCTGTATGCACCCTTCCTGTCCTCAAAGTAGCTTACACAAATTAAAAATACAAATGGAAGAGACCACTATAGTTAAAATGAAGGGCAACCTTAAGATTGAAGCAATTCAATTCAAAAATCAGTTCTAACTAAAGATGGGAGAAAGAGATGGGATTTGCCATTTTCTGACAAACTGGACGGAAAGGGTCAAATATTGCTTTTATTGCCAGGGAAGTCTTGCTTCCACAGGTCAGATAAGAGAGATTGCGGTAATATAATAATCAAAAAGGCCTTGATGATCTGTATAATTTGCATTTTTTTAGTGGGAAGAGATGGTTTCAGACACTATTTTTTAAATTTATTTATTGAATTTACATGCTGCCCATCTTGCTATCCAATAATTGCTATAGTTTACTTACACACCAAGCCATAAATGAGATTTTTTTTAAAAAAAAAATCTTCATTATTGAACTTTTTGAATATTTTTAAGTGCTTCCTTGATTTAAAAAGAAAACAAATTTATGCTCACTGATTATAGAGAAGATCAAAAATTTCGGGGAAGGTGCAGCCAAAGGATCCACGTCCCAGTTTTTCTTCTCATGGGTGAGCAAGTGTGACTTCATGACTACTGAGGAAGAATTGTTGGGGGAGTGGATTCCTTGAATGATATTGATAGCAAAGCTCAAAAGACACCCAGGTTTCTTACCACACAATGGCTTGCATAAATTAAAGCACCAAGCCATGATTCCTTTACCAATTAGCTGAAATTACACAATAGGTCAGTCCAGAACAGGTTGTGCAAACACATCCTACAAGCATTAAATAGCCACTCAGGGCAAGAATGTTTTCATCATATGCTTCATTAATGGTGCCTAACTGTGTTCATACAAAGATTTATTGCCTTACAGGCCAAGGCCCAAACAGTAGTATAGCTTTCTGTGTGAACTCAGTTTGTGAGGTTAATTTATGCTTTATTGTGTTGCAAGAACCCAGGGAATAGGGTTGAATAAAGCCACGATATTGTTCGATGGCCTCTGCAGGATTAAAAAAATGGAATCTAAGGAAATCGGTTAAGATATAAATATGTCATTACATTATACCAAAGGTTCATTTATCCCAATATTCTCAGGCCAATTCTGCATTAATTTACCACCTGTGTTCAATGAAAAATAAGATTTAAGGAAAAAAAAGACTGGATTCATTTTGCATTTTGTAGCCATGCAGGTAGCCCTTGCTTAGCGACCATTCAAAGTTATGACCGACCTCAACAGAGCTACTTATGACCCATTTCCAGGGTC